TATATATGATTTTTTCAATTAGAAAAGTTTTAAGTTGTGAATGCATGATTTTTTTTAAGTATTAAGTTGTAAATGCATGATCTTTTTTATAAGTTTTAGTTGTGATTAAATAAATTTTTTATAAGTTTTAAGCAGTAAATGTATGAAATTTTATAAGTTTTAATGTGAATTTAGAATGTGTTTTTATTATATCGATGTTTTCTCAAATAATATGAGTTTAGATTTTTTAAGTTCTGGATTGTGATGTGTGTGTGAACTGTTATCTAATACAACCTCCAATGCTCTAAACATCATCAGATGTAAGTTTTAATCTGAAATGTATTTTATTAAACTGTGAATTTGTGTATTAAATTGTGAATTGAGTATGTTAAGATGTTATTATTATTATTATTATTTTACAAATTTTATGTTTGCTTCTAAAATATGAGATGAAAGAAGCATTATACATAGATCTTATTTTCTCTAAGTTTAAATAAAATATGTAAAATTTAAATAGTGAATGTTATGTAAATTAAACTTTGAAAGAAACACTATCCCACATATATGAAGGTATATGTTAACGTATCCCACCAGGAATACGTTAAAGATAACATACATGCTATCTTTAGGACGACCTAGCTAACGGCTGCGATCCGTCCTAGCGCCAGACCTAGTTCCTCGCCCTCGCGCTAGGACCCTGATGCTTGGCGCCCTCTCGCCCAGGTCCAATTCCTGACGACAGTCTCCGGTCCATAACAAGCAAAAACACAGTTGGTCGTTTCCCAGAGCGACAAGTGTAGTGCCCATGGCGATGTCCTCTATTTATTTTGTACCAGTAGCATATTACCACTAGTGGTGCACAATCCACCAATGGGACTCCTCCGCATCCTTTCGGCCTAGACGGGACAAAGTATATATTGTTGGGACCATGTGCAGAGAACAACAAGTATAAAAGGAACCCTTCTTCCCCAGAAGAAGGGATTGCCTCCTTACTCTCCAAAACCCTAATCACTTTATTCTCATACACATACTAACTAGACCATCAAAGCTTCGTCCTGGGACCCCCTCCTGAACGTCTACTGACGTTATCTCTTCATTGTTGTGATTACAGGACGCTGCCTAGTAGGAATCATCAAGTGACGGTGCTAAGTCCCAATCTCATATCACAACATATACCTAGACACAATAAGGTTGGGTGTTTTTGTTAAATAGAGAATTTGTTACGTGGAAAAGTTCCAAACAGAAGACTATAGCAGACTCGACATGCGAGTCTAGGTACATTACGGCTAGTGAAGCTGCTAAGGAGGCTACATGGTTGAAGATCTTCATTCAGTGATCTTGGAGTTGTACCAAGTATTAAAGATCCTTTAGAGATCTTTTGTGATAGCGAGGGTGTCGTCACTTTGACTAAAGAATCTAAAGACCATGGTAATTGTAGACACATGTTGAGAAAGTACCATTACGTTTGATGTATAGTAGAACACGAAGACATCATCCTGAATCAAGTATCATCTGAGGAGAATCATGTTGATCCGTTCATAAAACCACTATCAAGAGAGAAACATGATGGTCATGCAAGGACCGTTGGCATGAGACTAGATAGTGAACTGATATAATATTTTTGTTGTTTAGTTTGAATTATTATGAAACATACAACGATATGAATTGTAACCATTTTGATGTTTATTTCAAAGTATCTTAATGAAAAGCTTTTCTTTGCTATCAAAGTTGTGTTAATTCAAATATTGTGTTTCACTTTTACATGTTTTGAACCTACTTCCAAATATTTAATTATGTTCAAATTTCCAAAGTTAATCACACTCTAGGAAGTGAGTGAGTGATTTAAGACTGTCATGGGTATTAGTTGATTGACCAAGTTTATATGGGTATTGCAATTAATATTGCGCTAAGACTCATGAGTACTTGAAAATAGAGATTTTAAGTATTGGAAAAACTCACACCTAGAGATTACCTCGTGGATCTAGTCACAAGTAATTTTAAGATGACAATATCTTTTATTCTTCAAACTAAGATGCATATGGGTTTTTTTGTTTTCTTTTTTTTGTTTTTTGTTTTTTTTTTTTTTGCAAAATTTGTTGTACATTGGTTTCCTCCAACACTATTTGTAACTGGTAGTCATAAAGGATATGTCCATGTATGATTAGATGAGTAGGCAAAAATTATGTAGTCAAAGTTTCTTTGTTTCTTCTCGTAACTTGTCCATATATGATTAGATGAGTAAGCAAAAATTATGTAGTCAAAGTTTCTTTGTTTCTTGTCGTAACTAGAAATCGATATTTATGGGCACTCGATGATTTGGTGCTAACATCTGAAGTGTTTGGCCAAACACTAACTAAATTGATGTGTTCGATTTAGAAGTCAGATGTATTGTCAAAAATTGTTTAATCAGGAAACATAATGTTGAACATTGAGATTGACCAATATTTATGTCTTATGTTCATAGAGATATCTTAAACAAAGTAATAAGTTGATCATTAACTTATAATCGAAGTTTGAAAGTTGCATTGGATGACTACTATCTATTGATTGTTAGTGAAATATTTTGATTTTAAAACATCATTAACTTTTTTGATAATATTTCTAATAATAGCATGATTTTTTTGGATTAGCGTCATGACCCAAATAACATAAGGAAATGAGGATAAATGAAATGTAAATTTATAAAGAAATTAATAAGTTAATTAATAATTACTTTGGAATTAATTAAATTATTTTAATTAATTAAAAATTTTGAATATTAATATTTCAATAATTTGAAAATATTTCAATAATGTTTTTACAACAAATACAACCATTAACAAGAGTGGTGAGCAAAAAAGTAACCAAAATAATATGTCAATCGATCACCAACCAACCAACATATATTTGAAATCCAATATATTTGGATGAGTTGGTTCTGAAACTACAATATCCAATTAGATAGCTTTGGTGTTTGTATGACAATGAAAATCCAATTAAACTTGAACCGATACAACCACATTACTAACCAATTTAAATTATCAAATTATTATCCAATTTCAATTATAAAAAAATATTAATATCGATATTTTAACTATATATCATCTATTGATATAAACTATAAAGGATATCCAACATGAAATTCCATTGGATAAAATCATTCAATTTCAATTTGGAATAGATCAGTTTGGGAATATCCAATTTCTAATAGATGATTGAATTGGTTCGATAAAAAATAAGGTCACAGATATACAATAATAATCACATCTCCTAGCAATATAATAAGGTCACGGCTCCTTGCTGAAGAACATTGAAAATTTATAAAGACACATTAATTTGATAAAGAAAAACTTTAGATATTTCACGAAGTTATGAACATAAACAAACACCCAAACTTTGATCACATAACCAGATGACAAAAAAGAACTATTCAAACATTGGGAAAAAAAGAGTCAAGATTTCCCATTTGAACCAAAAAGAATTCAAGACACCTTGAAGCTTATATGTAGCTTCAAAACCAAAACGTCTAAAAGACAAAATTCAGACCCCCCCAAAAAAAGTTAATAAAAAAACAAGTCACCGACTTTATATACTACTACGCTATCGACAGTTGAGACCTACATGACTTACTCAAATGCCCAGGCATTCTCCTTGCGCACTTCTGCTTCTTCTTCTGGAGTGAAATCGTTCTTGATGTTGAAGAGCTCGCGAATTTGTTCAGGAGTCTTGCCTTTCATCATGTCAGCAACAGCTTGACAGGTCAGATCCAGTAAGTTCTTGATGTTTAAATAGTTAGCAGCCTGAAACATAAACAAGAATCATTAAACAATAGACCACAACATTATTTATATATCATCTCTATCAACAAAACAATTTATATGATAAATGCATGTAATTGATTTACGTGGTGTACAAGAGTGAAAACATGTATAACAGATGAAAGGAAGAAGGTAAGAAACAGTGTGAGGCTGAAAACTACTGTCAAAAAATTGATATGTTAGAAACTATCACAGAGAGTTCGAAAACAGAAAAATCATAACTGCTATAAAAATCGGAAACAAAAGCAAAACCCTAGAATTATCCCCAAAACCATATCGAAACTGCCTACATAAAATTTGAGCATAAACATAACCAAACAGCAATAAGAGATAATCATATTGACGTGAACGAAAAGAATTACGCACCAGAATAAGATCAAACAAAGTGCCTTGATCGACATTCGTGAATTCGGTATCAAACGACCTCAGATCCTCCGCGGCTGTCTTATCATCGGTTTTCGGTGTATCAACGTGCTTCTTACAGTATTCAATCACCTTCGAGAGGATCTTACTTGTGACGTTGGGTACAGGGATGCTGCTGCCAGCGCAGTTATCTTCGATCATGTGCTTGATCGTCTGAGACTCCACCGCCACCGCCTCATCAACTTCGAAGGTCTCACCGTCGGAACTTTTCAGAACGATCTTCTTTGAAGACGACGTGGCCATGATTTAGAACGACGGGAAGAGATTGAGAACCGAAAGAAAAACCCTAAGTTAGAGAGTTTTAAGAAAACTAGAAACCTTTTGATTTACGTGAATAGTTGGGTTCCTCTATTTATAGGGAGATGAGACCTTGCGGGGGTATTTTTATTTTAAATTTTACAAAAATGATCCTTCTATAAAATGTTTTTATCGAATTAAGTCCTTTAACTTTACTTTGCAAACAGAAATTAAATTTTAAATAGACTAATTGCTAAATTCATAAATTCATAATAACTTATTCTTCAATTTTATTATACAATAATTTTGGCAAGATTAAATTTATTTTTATGTCTCCTCCAATTAAAAATATATTATAAAATCTTTTAGTAAAAAATTGTTGTATTAAACAAATTAATTTGGTTGAGGGATATTTGTAAAATCGGTTATGTATTATAATTTATAATCGTGTGTCAAGATGGTGAATAATTGATGGTATATTTTTCATTGTGTTATTTAAGTTTTAAAGATATTAGGCAAGTTTTAAATCATTGTTTGAATATTATTTAAATTGTAGTATTATTTATTATTAGTCATTATCTCTTACTTAGTTTCCAAGTTATCTTGTATAAGAAAACTCTTTTGCATAAATACCCTTGAATATGGAATGATGATAGAAGAGTAGATGACAAGATTTTGAATTCTAATAAATACTATTATTTTGGTATATGGTGATTATTGGTTTTTATGTGAGTTCAAATAGAAATAGACAAGAACCATTCTTCCATATGAATACGAAAATGTATTATCAATCATATTTGCAAACCCATTATTAATAAATATTATGATTTGGGTTAAAATGAGCTATTACAACATACACCACGAGCAACTAATTTTTACATATTCTAATTAATCAAATTTGAGCACAAACTACTTGATACTAACTTTTTTTTTTCCATAATTAAAACATATCCTACTTGGTAACATAACTTTTAATGAAAACAAAAAGAGTCTTATTTATGTGACCATAATTGAGATTATTTCTAAAGTTGTAGTGGTAAAATTAAAAACAATAACAATATAGTTGTTTGTCTTTAATGTAATAATAATTGTATATTGTTCTTGATAAAGTTAATTTTAAGAGGTCTAATTTAAAGGTGACCAAAACACAATTCAATTAAGTAATAAATCATAGCATCCTTAATCATGTTTTGCCATCAACAAACCATCCAAGATAAGTACATGTTTAAAACTCGTATTTTAGCAAATCTTATATACAACATTTTAGACAATACATATAAACAATGTGTTTATATTGGTAAATACATAAGTTTGAGGATCGGTATGTACTTTTTGAAATAAATATTGGTGGGCATTTCTGAAAATTTGTAGATATGCATTAAAAAAATTGTAGATATTCGTTGAGAATTTTATTATTGTGCATTCAATTACATGTGAAAGTAAAATCTCTAGGTATCATTGTGAGATGGGGACTCTCTCTCTTAATATATATCTCTCGCAATTTGAATGCATTAGTTCTTGCTGATTACGTTTTTTATTTTATTTTTTTGTCAAACCAATCATCCTTAATAATTATGTAAAAAGTGGTGTAAAATATTGATTTATAAAATAAAGTATAATAAAAAATATAAAACTCCTGAAATTTTGTGTATGAGTAATCTCAAAAAGTACAGAAGATTTATACTTTTTTAACCATGTAAAGTTTAGACAAAAGTTTATTTAATAATATCCAACAATAAACATAAAATCATCTTATAATACCGGAATTCAATAATAAAGCTAACTAACCTTGTACATTATAATTACTATTTAGTCACCTAACGTGTTGCAGCAACGAACTTCTTTGTGAAATGGGCCATAAAAATATAAATATAAAGTATCAATCCTTACAATTATGTATAGAAGAGAAGAAAAAAAAAATTGAAAGTGTAGCTTACTTGGTACAACATCACAAATGATAGTTAATTAAGATATTATAATAATAAAAAATAATATAAATAAAAACGAAAACTATAAAAAAGTTATGTAAGGGATGAAAAACATAAATTTAAAATATAGTAAGAGACCAAAATCGTAACCGGAAAAATACCATTAATTTAATTTTAAAACTAGTTTATAACTCATTGGAACCACGGTTACAAAATTAATTAATTTTTTATAGTAAAAACTCAAAATTATTAATCATTTATTTTAAATACATTATTTGAAATAAACTATTAATTAAGAGATATTTTTTTAGTTATATAAAATTATAATCGTTTATTTAAATAAATACATGAAATTATATCACCATATAATATGTATTAATTTTATTTTAATTTTTATTCTATTGTTATTAATTTAATGTAATTAGAGTGGAAAATTTGAAATTTGAAACTTGTAATGGAGAATCAATAGGTTGACAAGTGGCATGACATTAATTAGGAGAGACCTAATAGGGTGACACATGACAAAAGGAAAATAAACCTATTCATTTATTAAAATAGGGAGATTACGAAGAATGAAAACTTTGAAATAAAATTATTTGAGCAAAAAAAAATGTAAATGTGATATTCTATTGTAACCGAGTTCAAGGTGTTGTTTGTTTTTTCTGGGGCAAAATGTATGCAGTCTGCGGACCACATCTGTAGACCTCTGCAGTAGAAGAGGTGGACGAAACGTCTGCAGGCTGAAAAAAAATATTGTTTGTTTTTTTAACATCTGCAGACTACTAAAATAAACTAAAATCTAAATTAACTAATTTTTTTTAAACTTCAAAGTGACTTTTTAATATTTTTATGACTTTGTTATAAATAATAAATAAATCTAGATCAACTTTTATGTATTATTGTATAAAATGTGAAAATAAAATGGTACAAATTAATGTATATATTTGATAAAAACCAACAATTTTGGTAGTAAAGTTATACCTAAACATTATAATTAGGAATCAAAGAATTTGATACATAAATTGATGGAAATAAACTTCGATTTTTTTCAATTAAATCAATTAAAAACGTATCATAAATATTTTTTTAAGAAATTGACGATATTGTATTAAATAATGTTTTATAAAATTTGGCACAAAAAATATAAGAATATATATATATATATATATAT